GTATGCAACCCCAGTGGGAGTGTTGACAATACCATTATATCAATTATCTCACAACTAGGCTGCACTCTTTGCCTCTCACATACACAGACACACTCGTATACACAGATACATTCGTATACACAGATACCCTCGCCCGCGCGAAGCGCGGGGTGTGGGGGGCGCGCGCAGCGCGCGGTGTGGGGGCGCGCGAAGCGCGCGGTGAGGGGGGGCGCGCGCGAAGCGCGCGCGGTTCCGCACGGAGCCCGCGAAGCGGGCGTAGTGCGGAAAAATTTTTTAGCCACTTCACACCTAGGTGTTACATTTCACACCTATGTGTGAAAAGTGACACCTATGTGTGAAGTCAAAAAATTTCAAATTTTCGAGAAAAATGTCGAATTTTTGAGGTAGATGTCGCATCTGCGTGAAAAAAGTTAAATATATCAAAAAAGTCATGTTTTTTTTTGGAAAACATTTGTCGATTTTACTGTAAAACTGGCTTTTGAGAAGATTGAAGTGTTTTGAATATGAAAACCATTTCCATTGTGTCGTTGATGGACTAGAAGTAGGACAGTTTCATATTAGTTCCGTTGTTATGAGCTGTATAATAGTTCTTTTGTCAGGAACTGAACTGTCCTATCCCTATGATGGACAGGTCAAATCAGTCTCTAGTTAACGTAGGATGTCGAAATCTTTGAGTGAGATCAATTTTCGTTTCATTATTACGAAATAGTTTTTGTTTCATAAAGATTCTAGTTTATATATTTTGTCAAGTATCATATTATTTATGTGAGAAACAATATTCAAGTAAAACAGAATGTTATCCTAAATATCTTTAAATGATATGAGTGTTTTAAAAAGCAAATCTCACAATAGCCTCTAATGAACGTGTGCTTCCTCAAATAACTAACTAATACATATTAGGAATACTATTGTGTATTAGGTGTTCAAGCTTCCGTAAATATGAGAATTCACATCCTCATTCATTGATTCATTCGTTTTCTTCTCATTAATCCTTGTACATTGGAGTTCGGGCTTGTCCAGTGGTTGTCTCCACTGATTTCGATCTTTTGACGTTTTTTTTTGTAACTCGTGATATTGAAAATCTAGACACTTTGGACGGAGTTTTTCAATGTGATTACGCCAGCTCAGTCGTCATCGTCCTGTTACTCTTTTTCCCATTGTTACAGTGTGGAATATCAGATGTAGACGTCAATTGTGTTGTATTCTAAGAACGCACCGTACCCACTGTAGTCGTGAGCGTTCCGCATGAATTATATGTTGGAGTGTCAAATCAGTTACTCTACGAAGGAATCTCATTTCACTGGATCGAATTGGATATCGAATTATCTCTCTTAATATCCATCGTTCATGGTCATAAATTAAAATAGGGGGATGCACCAATTCGAATAACACAAGCTTTGTTATTCTCCTAAAGTTTATTTGTATTACAATAGATTGGTAGAGCAAGGGCAGAACTTTTACTTGATGCACCAGTTCAACGATCAGTTTCATCATCTTGTTTTCCATTTCTTGCGAATAGAACGCATAGATACTTGAATTTATGCACGTGGTTCATTTGAACTTATTTTTTTAGACAATACAGAGGAGAAAAAAATTGACTTGTTAATAGTATGGAGTATTTTCGTTCACGTGCTGAACTTTTTGGTGCTGAAGAAGCTAAGGGTGATGCAGCAGCACAATTATTGAATGATGCAAAACAATTATGTAGAAAAACAAGAGCCAATAACAAACATCAAACAGCATTAAAGCCTGCTAATAAACAAATGTTTTAGGTAAAAATTTCATGTTTATATAAACCATTGCATCTAATGATAGACAAAAACCTATGTCTTTGAATATTAGTATTCGTACAGATGTAAATATGCCTTTAAAAGTGTCATAATCTTATTTTTACATTATTCAACAATCACAATGATGATTATTGATTTGTTGAAAGAACAAATTGTTAGCTCTTGTTTACACTGAGTTTTTGATATATGTCCTTTTAACTAAGAGAAAGATAAAAACAAAAATGATCTCATTCACTTTACTCAGTTTATTGTTCTAATAATATAATAGATTATAATTGTAAATTAATTCGGTTAATGAATCACTATAAATTAATCAGATAGTTATCGAGTTAATAAGAACTTTGATTTTGTCACAAATTATTTCTGTTAAACTTATGTACTTACCATTTATCATAACGTAGTTATCTTATGGTATTGTTTTATAGAATTATGGCAACAATAATGCTGAACACGATGATGAAAATGAAGATCAATTCTTCTAATTTTAAAAAGAAAAAGAATACTTTTTTTATACAAGATTGTAAAACCAATTTTAACTTGTAAAGATTCTCAAAATGGAACGTTTATAATTTCAAGTGAATTTATCTAAACACCTATCAATTATTTTATTCATTATCATGTAGCTAGATCCATCAAAGCTTTCTTATATCCACTATAACTAAACTCACTAGTTATTATATTTTATCCTCATTTTTCACAATACACGATAAGACCCATAGAAATATATTTCGAAGGTTTCTTTTAGAACTATTTTTGATTTGGTCATTGGAGGTAGGATAGTATTTCTCTAAATGTACTTCATTCTAGACAGCGGAGAAGATTTTCTTCAGTAAGAGTACATCGATACTGCTTAATATATGGAAAAACGATGTTTTTATTACTCGTGAATGATAAATAAACTTTTAGATTTGTAAAAGATCATACTTCTGATTTACAAAGTTTGAAGACTCTGATTATTTGAACAATGTGATTGATCAAATGAAGTAACACTTTTTCTCTTATAGCAAAAGATAGGAAATTGTCTTTTAACTAAAAGAAGACAATTCAATCCCTGCAGTATTAGAGTTCTATCTCAAATAGTACCGTTAAAATGTTTGTGCTGACAATTTCTTATGAGGATGTGGGTGCGGTGAGTGTGGGTGCTATTCCTTTTGACATTTACACTCACA